AAAAATATTGGCGGCCTTGAATTTGTGTTGAGATGTGATCTCGACCCTTGCAAAATTCCTCTGAAGGTATCTAATTTTCATAAACAAGTACTGCTTTTTTGGAAAATGATATTTACCCACAACTTTTCCCCTCACAACTCCACTCTTTGGAACAATAGGGCTGTAATTATTAATAGGAAATCTCTGTTTAAAAGTGATTGGTATAGCCAAGGCATTATTTTTATTCATGATTTATTAGATGATAATGGCTTTTTCTTATCTTATAATGATTTCATTAATAAATACAGAGTTAGAATTACAATAAAAGGTTATAATAAGGTATGCAATGCTATACCCACTGGATTGTTAAGAATAATCCAAAGCAGTTTTTCTGATCTTTTATCTAGACCTGTAGTTTCTCTTCCCTCTTTGAAAATATGTAATGTTGACCTTTTAGACAGTAAGTGTAATAACAAACTTATTTACAAAGAACTTAAACGTATTATCACTGGTGATTATCAGTGTTATTTTCTGGGAGATGTTGAAACCTCAGTAAAGGACAAAACTTTTACCCGTTATATGGCATACCCAGTTGCTCCAAAGGTCAAGGAGACTCATTACAAAATTATGTTTAGGATTTACCCAGTTAGTGACTTTATACAAAAACGATTTCATTTCGAGGTGGATCCTTGTGGTTTCTGTTCTTCATTTCCTGAAACACTTGATCACCTTTTCTTTTACTGTGAGACTTCTTCTACATTTTGGTTCGATATACATAGCTGGTTGTCAGTAAAAATGGAGACAATTCCTCCTATAACCCAACAAGATGTCCTCTTTTTTAAGTGTGATTTAAATTCATCCTTCTCTGATTCATCAATTTTGTTTTGTTGATGGGTAAATATCATATCCATACTTGTAAATGGAAAAAAGTAAACCCTCCTTCAATATATTTTTATTTGAGTTTGCTAAAATGTTTCAGAGCTTCAAATGCTTCAAAAAACATAATAGAAGATCTGAAAAGTTATGCTTCTCTTTGTCAAATTATTTATTATTTTAGTATATATTTTTTTTCTTTATAATGTCTACATCGACTACATCTTTGTTTTCATCCTTGCTCCATATATTTTTTTCTTCTTCTTTAATGTAAACTCTGTGTTTGTCTCAATGGAAGTGTCTTGCATTGTTGGTTGTTCCCTGTCTTATGTACATTAAGCAATAAAAAAAAAAAAACATTTATTTTGAAATAGGTTGATATCTGGCACAGCGGGGCATTAGGCAGATAAATGGACCAGATAACTGGAGTGTCCTTATGATTTCACAATCACTACAAACTCTTAAAGGGGTGGTTGACTGTTTTTTTTTATAGGCTTGATTGTGTGGTTTATGTAAAATTCTGGGTTCTTGACGTAACGGACCCGGGAAGTAACTCGTTGTAGTCCCTACCAGCCGTTTTTGTAGGCATTAAACTGCCAGAATTTTAAAAGACGATATCTCCGTTTGCACTGAACTTTCAGCTTCGTAACTTTGCAGATATTGTTTATGATCAAACAGCAACATTACACACTAACTAACGTTAAAAAAGTGAAATCGCAATCAACCACCCCTTTAAAAATATTGCCACTTTAATAACTGACATAAAAACTGCTATGATTGGGGTTTGTTAAAGTGGATAGGGTAAATCATTTTACAAAACCTAAAATTTATGTATAATTTATAAATTCATACGAAACGTCTAAAAGTGAGGTTTCATGGTTACAAAGTAAGAGATCTTTCTTCCAGCTAAAATGGGAGTTTCAGCTGAAATGGGTCAGTTAACATGGAACATTAAAACTGTTCAGATAATAATGAAAAATCTAAGTTCAAATGTGACATAATTTAGCCTTCATGATCTGACTCTTTTCAGAATTAACTGCAGGCATGTAGTGGGGAGAAGATGCATATTACCTTAGACATTATAATAAAAATATAAATAAAAAATATTTATTACTTTCTGTTATTATTGTTAGGTTATTTGTAGGCTTTATATGGCATACTACAAATATCATATTCATTGCAGGTGTTTTTTTTACTTCCTTTTTGCATTTATAAGGCCTATTTATAACTTTACTTTTTATAACACAGTTGACATGTTTCTTTTTTTAGATGGCTACATTTGAAGATTATTGCGTAATAACCCAGGAGGACTTAGAGGATATTAAAGATTCCATATCTTCTCAGGATCTCCCATCAGCGATAACCACGATAAAAGAATACCTTAAAAAGCAGGATCTTGTAGAACTTAACATTGGTGTGACGGGAGAGTCTGGTTCTGGAAAATCCACGTTTGTCAATGCATTCAGGGGTTTAGGAGATGAAGAAGAGGGTTCTGCTAAAACTGGCCCAGTAGAAACCACTATGGTACCTGAGGTTTATCTTCACCCAAAATACAAAAATGTGAAAGTGTGGGATCTTCCTGGCATTGGAACACCAAACTTCAAAGCTGATGAGTACCTTAAACTGGTTCAGTTTAAGCGCTATGATTTTTTCATCATCATTGCTTCAGATCGGTTCAGAGAATGCCACACTCAGCTGGCCACAGAGATTATGAAGATGGGGAAAAAGTTTTATTTTGTTCGTTCCAAGATTGACTTTTGCATTACTGCTGAGAAGAGGAAGAAGAACTTTGACCAGAAAAAGACTCTGGAGATCATCCGAGAGAACTGTGTAAATGGTTAGCTATTCAGTTTTCATGACAATGTTTTGAGCAACAAAGAGATTTAGATGTCTTTAAAATTATTATATGCGAAAACAGTTATGAGGATATAATGATATCATGCCCTGTCCTGATTCTGTCTAGGGCTGAGGAAGATTGGTATAGAGGATCCTGTCGTGTTCCTGATCTCTGGCTGGGAGCTCGGAAAGTATGATCTAAATGTTCTGCAGGAGAGGATGGAGAAGGAGCTTCCACAGCATAAGAGACGTGTGCTGATGTTGGCTTTGCCGAATATCACACTGGAGATTAATGAGAAAAAGAAGAAAGCTCTAGAGGAAAACATTGGAAAAGTTGCCTTCCTGTCTGCTTGTGTGGCAGCTATTCCTCTCCCTGGTCTTTCGATCGCTGCAGATATAGCCATCATAGCAGGCGAGCTGAGAAAGTACTACAGTGCATTTGGTCTGGATGATCCATCCCTGCAAAGGCTCTGTGAAAGATCTGGGAAGACCGTAGAGGAATTGAAGAGTCTGATGAAGTCTCCTCTGCATCAAGGGATAAACCCAAGCTCAATATTAACCTTGCTGGGTGCTGCATCCCTTCTTATATCAGAAGATGCTATTGAATTACTTGTGAGCTTCATACCCATTATTGGCACTTTGGTGGCAGGAGGACTGTCTTATCTGACTGTCTCAAGAATGCTGAAGAGAGCTCTGAATGACATAGCTGATGACGCCAGGAATGTGCTGATGGCTTCATTGGAGACTGAAGTGTAATTGTAAAAAATGTAGGCTACATGTAAAAAATATACAACATTATTGTAACTAACTGCTTTTTGGGTATTTGAAGACAAATATTTGTTTATCACATTTAATGCAAAATATCTAATAGAATATATCTAATATGATATAGATTTATGCTTTCATGTATTTACTAACAATTACTTTTATCCAAAGCAACTTACATTTGTGGAAAAATACAAACGATTACATGTTTAAGATTTGATGGAATAAGACTTGTAATGTTTGGAAAAATAACTTGAGTTACTGTTTGAGTTACTCAAATGTTGCATTTCTTTCCACTATTTTATGCATTTCTTATAATAATAGTTTGGTTTTGGCCCTCTTTTCTTTCTAATTAAATTTACTTTTGGACAGATAACGCAGCATCACAGCCTCAGTTGCCATTGCTATTTGTGATACATTTCATAAAAATCATTTATCACTTTTGGATGAGTGTTATTTTCAGTTCTTGTATTAATGTGCTGTATAGGGGAAATTTTAAATTTAATTTTGATTTGATATGCCAATTGAGGATGTTTTGAGTCGAAGATAAGGGTCAGAGCAACATGTTGCGTTTACGTGCACTTAGGTTGTAAACATTATCAAACTGCTGTCAAATTTGTGTAATGTTTAAGGTGCTCTTCGGTCACTTTTGACAGAAAAATTTTCTGTTTTGAATTTTTTTAAATTACAGCTTCATCGGAATGTTACGAAACTTGGTGACTTTTATGGCATTTGGAATGTGAACACACACAAAAGTTGAGGGCATGATTCGAGCAGACTAAGTGGTCGTAAAAAAAAAAAGTCACACTTGTGGTCTTCGGTCAAAAATGACCGACCATAGGAAATGAATGGGAAATCGACAAAACTACAAAAATTCTGAGAATTTTCTAAAATTCAAGCTACAAATCTGACATAATGCAGAAAAAAAGTACACAGCAATGACAGGGTGAAACTCTAAAACATCAAGAGTGCAAAACCAACACATCCACTCACACGCACACGCGTACGCACACACTTATATACACACACACACACACCTAAAAACTGGTCTGACTGTAACACAGCAAATATGTAAAATAAAAGCAATAATTCGACTACAATGCAGTAAAAAAGTGGACAGCAAGGAAGACATAAAGTTGTCTTTTGAGAATGTCTAAATATATATCCAAACCCACAACTTAATAAAAATAAGTATTTATGTCTAAAAACAATTAAATAATTTATAGGCCTTTTATATAGAGCTATATAGGAATATATGGGTTAAACCATGGAATTGCAGATGTTTTTCTTATTTTACTCCCACCAGATGGCACTAATCTGGCTTCAAAAATGGGATTTTAAAGGCATTGACTCTTATTTTAACATGAAATACTGCATTCATTGAAAAGTAATATAAAAATATATTTAAATTTTTTATTTTTATTTTCAATGGACAGAAATTCGTCATAATTATTGCATAAATATTCATTAGTGCCATGAAATTATCTCAAAATAAAAAAATATTATTGAATAAAAATTTATTACATTGATTTTACTGGGGTGAAAAAAAAGTTACATTTCAGGTGTCCGGTCACTTTTGACCGTGAAGATCACAAGTGTGACTCCCAAATGAGGAGCACCAGAAGGTTAAATTTTTTTTTTTCTCATTCTCATGACCATGGCCCATTTCAGAAAGGATGTTAAGTGAAAACTCGGAGTAAGTTAAAACCCAAATGAGGGAAACTCTTGGTTTTCCGTTTCAGAATGGGAGGTATGTCAAACCTGAGAAAGCAGGGTAAGTCAAGCCTATTTCTGAAAGAGGTAATTTATACTCAAAGTCAGTTATGGTAATTTACTCTGTGAACCTAACCTGGTCAGGAGCAGGTTTTCTTTGTTAAATCCAGAGTTTATTTCGGTCTTCTCTGCCTTTTTAAAGTGTAAGCGATGTTTAAATACTTCATTCATTCATTCACGCTGCAAAAAAGCTTTTCGTAGTGAGTATTTTGTAATCTAAATTAAGTGCATTTTTACTTAAAACAAGAAAAACAATCTTAATGCAAATGGAAACAAGATTATTTTTCTTACCCCACTGGCAGATAATTTGCAAAAAAAGAAAAATACACTTAAAGGACTAAATACATTGTCATTTTTCTTATGTAAAAACTGCATCTTGATTTAAGAATCTTTAGATATTTTGACTGGAAACAACAAGACAAAAATACTAAGTAAGAAAAGCATTTTTTGCAGTGCTGGTACAGTCATTCATTGCACATATTGTCATCATGTATAGACACTGTGAAAGTGACCAAAACGGCATGTCCTATTATACAGCATCCTACACTCTTAAAAATAAAGGTGCTTCAAAAGGTTCTTCAAGCGATGCCATAGAAGAACAATTTTTGGTTCCACAAAGAACCATTCAGTCAAAGGTTCTTTAAAGAACCATCTCTTTCTTACCTTTTTGTAATCTGAAGAACCTTCTTTCGCCACAAAGAACCTTTTGTGAAACAGAAAGGTTCTTCAGATGTTAAAGGTTCTTTATGGAAACATTTAGACAAAAAGGTTCTTCTATGGCATCATGAAGCACCTTTATTTTTAAGAGTGTATAGATGAGGAGGCTGCATTCATTCATAGGGAGTTACATTTACATGAGGAGAGGATTATTTGGATTTTTTTGCCATATCCACATGCATATTTATTTGAGCGGTACCATTTTTAAATGTTAGTTTTCTATATAACATCAGGAATGCAGAGCGGTAAGCGAAGTGTGTCTCACTCTCTTTCTTATAATATATGTAGATTCATTGGCACAAACCCATCGAAAATGAAGCTGATTACTGTATAGAATGGAAGGATGCCAGATGGAATGGTATTTCGAGATATATGCCGTAACCACCACCACAGCTGTTAAATTTATTTGGTCATCTTTATTTCCTACAAATACAAAAGCAACAAGTTATTTTTTTTCCCTGTTGGATTTTAATATTCTTCCAATACTTGGTATTGTGGCCATCCTCTTCATCTGTTCTTCATTATTTTGTGAGCCTTCCTGCTGTTGGCTGAGTATACGGCAAATGTTAATTTCATTACTCTAATTAAGAAATGCAACAGTTTGGATTAGAGAACATTTAATTATGTGAAAAGAGCATTAGCTAGACTATGTGGAAAAAGCTGCACATTGAAATAGACACTGATGTTACGTGCTGGCTGTATAAACGCACGACGGAGAATATTCCACAAATAGTCCTTTAATAATAAATCCACAAGGAAAACAACACTCGGAATCCAGGAACAGGCAAAGCACAACACAATAGAACCAAACAATAACCGGCAAAGGACTGAACAGAACAGGGAGTATCCACCTTATTCCTACGCCCCATGATGCTTTGCGCGAATTATGGGTGTAACTTCCGTTAAGCTATAAACAATCAGTGAAAGGCTCGCTCTATAAATGCAATAATATGTTTTTTTGTTTTTTTTAACTGGGTACAATGAGGTGACATTCTACTCACCCTTCAACCATCGAACATTAAAATGACATTTAAAAGTGTAAAAGCATAAACAAAGTACTTTCAACAAACCATGAATAACCCCAAAAGCGCGATTCTTTCCCACAGCAATAACGGACGGGTGAAATATCACTGTAGTAATATATACAGTATCTGTATTATGTAACATACCTTGCCTTAATCAAAAATATTCATTAACTTCAGCATTGCGTGACACTATTTCATTTTTTTTTTTGTCTGTGGGATACCATGAAAATTAATATTAGTTCAATAATTTACCATTCTGCCAGTTTTTACCTTTGATATTATAACAGTGATTAAGAATTAAAGTTACATATTGACCAGGAATGCCACATCTTTTTGTCCGGTGCTGTTGCCATGGTGAATCATAATTTCGGAGCTCCATTGATCATGGCTTTTCATAGTCGTGGCGCACACGCTAAACTCAGAGTCAACATACTCAGAGTTGATTGAACTAACTCAGTTTTTGAACCCGAAAACTCAGAGTTTCCCATCTCAGGGTAAGTCAACTCAGAGTTCAAGTTTCAACTCAGAGTTGGTTGAACCTCCTTATTGAAACGGGCCCCAGCACAGGTAGCAAGACATGATATTAATTTATCTGGCTCATACTTTTCTCTGCCATTTGTTACAAAGAAAATTCATAAAGGCAAAAGGGAAAGCACATGGCTTGTGTGGATGTGCAAATGGCAAGCATTTTTAAACTGCGAGTTTCAACTAATATTTTGTCCCATCCTTGTTATGAATGCCCCCTAGTCTCACATGTACAAGTAATGAATTAAACCAATTTCACTAGCTCATTTAATTAGCATCTTACTGGCTCTCTCTCTATTTCAACTGAAAACTGTAAAAAAAAAAAAAAAAAGCATTACGAAGAAGACAGGGATAAATCCAAACAGGCTTAATAAACCTCAAAGAGAGCCAAACTAAGAGAGAACATCCACAATTAATGCTTGATATCAACAATACCCAACAACGAAAAACAACAAAGCATGAATTTAAATAGGGGCAGTAATGAGACGTGCACAACTGAACAAAATGAGTGATCAGTGAACATCCATGACAACAAACTAACCAAGGAAAGATGGTACAAAGTGAAAACATAGTCTGTGATGTGTGAGAGTGTGACAAAAACAAACAGATTTGTATGACACTACTTTGGTTAACTGGTTCATTTTCCCAGGTAACTTGTACCTCAGTGTTCAAATGAATGATCATTCCATGTACCCTTCACTAACCCTTCTCAAAGGGATTCTGGATGTCAAATAAGGTTATGATGTATTATGATTTCACATGACTGGTCAACTGTTGAATTTGAGAAAAGGGCAAATATTTGGACTTTGATATAAAGAGGCATTCACTGCCCATCTCTGAAAAACCCATTTTGTGCTTATTTGCTTATGAGTCCAAGACAAAGATCAAATCAGGATGTTGACTTTGCATGTGTAACCCCTCTCTCCCGGGTCCTCTCCGCCACACCTCGTTCTC